CGGACCATTTTCATTTATATAGTGCTCTGTGAACACAAATTAGTTAGCATAAATCAGTTAAATGACGAAAGATTAAATGTCTATTTACTTGTGACCACTCAGTGTATATAAAAAAAGTACCATTTTAATATTTTTTTAGGAAAATGCTTAATAAAAATCATTTGACTGAGTCCACTTACTTTTGAATAGAGAGAAAAAGCTTGTGTGTGACGTGGGTAGGTATATAAGGTCCAGAGGATTGATTGGATTTTCTCCCAATACAGTGAATAGATGTAGCCCTGCTCTGACCTAGACATTTACATACAATTTGCAATGCCAATGTGCTAGGTCTAAGCGAGACTAAATCCAGTCATGCTAATCAAAGACAGACCTGGCCAATAACAATCTTTTCACTCAACATTTTCATGATGCTGTCAACCAGGCTGCTCCCTTGCAAGTTGTACCCAACACACTGTTTCTTATCGCATGATCAACAGTAGGCCTAGAATATGACCAGACCTAAGCTGCTAGGTTAGATTGGAGGTATCTATATTTTTTATTCGTTATTCTCAAAGAAAATGGATCACTTATCTCTAACAAGATAAGTAACATTACTTTAAGCTTTTAGGATGTATTGTATCGATTGTTTGTGTTACTTGAACAGAATTAGCAAATTGTTATCCCTTAAAAAATCCATAATTACTTGTGGGTCTACATTAGCCCTCTTATAGCTGCATATAATTCGTTATCAACTTGAAAAGCCTCATTAGTTGGAGAGTATAGAATATGTCATCCAAGTACAAAATTTGACAATTTTGAGTTAAGTAATGACAATATGCAATCATTTGTTACAAAACTATTAGGTAGTTCATTCTGATATATCTCTTTCTCCCTCTCTTACACATACACACACAAGCACTGAAATACACACACTTACAAGTATGTGTTATGACAGTAGGGGTCACGTGACCCTAGTTACACGTCATATTCTCGAACGTTCACGTCCCTTCCTGAATCCTCGAGAGGCTACTAGATATGCGGTATTCTTGTATATATATAAGCCGCCAAGAAGTGACGGCAACAATGTGTAATTGAACTGCAGACAGAAATAGATACGGACAGTTGAGTCGAGCACGTGAGACGTTTGCTGTGAGTTATAGCGTTCGTTATAGCGCGACTGTGGAAATTAAGTGTATTGCAAAGTTGTATTCAGAAGGAATAAACCAGTTTTATTTAAGAAAGGACTTGTATCGCTAAAGTTTCTTCGGAAAGAATTTTTTACGGAAAATTAACTAACGACCAGAGACGTAAC